ATTCTGTTCAGATTCATGGATGTAGAGAAGGAGGACATGCAGAGGGTTGGTGTTGCAGAAAAATACTGTAGTTCACCTTTTTTAAAGATTGATTAGTCAGTTAATCGAGGCACAATGCCGAAACCCGGGATTGAACCAGGGACCTTCAGATCTTCAGTCTGACGCTCTCCCAACTGAGCTATTTCGGCAATGTACTACACATGGAGAATGAGGGAGAGCACTGTAATCAGACCAAAACAGTCAAATAATGCCACCTGGTCCAATCAGAGACATTATCAGTTGTTGATCAAATGATGACCAAAAAGTCGTATATAAAAGCAAAATGCACTTACAGAAAGGACACAGGATTAATAAATGCTGCAGAGAATCATTATGTGATTTATTGCACAGAGCAATAAAACTGTAGAGCTAATAAAGACTGAAGATCTGAGGGTCCTAGGTTCAAGTCCAGGTTTTGGCAATGTAGTACATTTCTGTGGAGCACAAAGTTCAGATTATTGCCAGTTTGCAAGTCTCAGTAGAACAGTGAAGCTTTACAGTCTTAAACAGGCCGCCTGTAATTATCATTGTTTAATTATTATTTTATAAGCTGTAGAAGTGCCATAAAATCTGCTGTCTGTAATAGAGGAATGACAGATACTTCTGATAAATCAAAGGGGAGCATCATTAACCGAGTCTATCTTTTGCTTTTTTTCACACGTCCTCTGTAGGTGACCGTCAGCTCCCTGAAGGATGTTCTAAAATACTTCATTGAAAAAACTGAGTATCGGCTTTGTCCTTTCATTCCATCTCAGCCCTACGACACTTTGATCGGTGAGAGTACTGCTTTTAAAAATGGTTACAGTGAAGTGGGCAACTCCTAACCACAGATTGTGTTCAATAGAGGCGTCACCAGCTCCCAAGTGCCTCGACACAACCCCACGTGCACCTAAACCACTACCAAAGGCACACGTGCCCCCTATGCTGCGGTCACGGACCAAAGAGGAGATTCTGCCAAACAAGCCTGATGAGGGAGAATATGTCATTCCTGATGATCCCAATGACTCCAGCCTGAATCTAGGTGAGCAGAGTCAATGTTGATTTAAAAACAAAACAAACAAGCGAACGGGCAGAAGGTTAAATCACGGCAAATGTAACAGCAAGTCTAAATGACTCGAATGCTTTTGTCTAAACCAGCTCAGTTGGATGATGAGCTCAGGAGAGCCCTAAAACAACGGAGAGAAAACATCTATGTTTCGACTGATGAGAAAGTCTCCCCCTATGAAACAAAACTGAATGGAAAAACAACAATCTAACACGGCACGGTGGACGACCGAGAAACCGACAGCGTGAAGTAGGGACTGGTGTAACCTGACAAGTATAACGTTAAACTTTTACCTACAGCTCAGAGATCACAATGTTCACGGTGAAAATGGCTAAATTCTGCTTTATTGAAACGAAATTTATACATTTTTCTCCAAGATGGGAGAGTTTGGACCGTTGCTTAAATATTGTGACCAAATGAGCGGACGGTGCTAGATGATCAAAGGAATTTCTGTGTTTATTTCAGTGACCACTAATGTCTGCATCCGTCATTGCAATCCAGCTGAGGGGTGTCAATAAAAAAGCTGAACATTTCATCCCGTAGTCAGTCCCAAAAACTTTGTAAAAGATTAAATGTTTGTTCAAATCTTTGTACCTGTGGATGGATCCGTATTGGAACTTTTACACTGAGGGTTCACCAAAGTAATCAACCCCCTCGGGAACTTGGATGTTAA